CACACACACACACACTCTCACACACACACACACCCACCACACTCTTTCACACACACACACGCACACACCACACACTCTCACACACACCTCACACTCTCTCACACACACCACATAGTCACACACACACACTCACCATACACACGCACCACGCTCTCTCACTCACACACTCACCACACACACGCACCACACTCTCACACACACACACACATCACACTCTCACACACACACTCATCACACTCACACACACCACACTCTCACATACACTCACCACTCTCTCACACACACACCCACCACACTCTCACACACACACACTCTCTCTCTTACACACACACTCACCACACTCACACACACTCACCCCACACACTCACTCACACACACACACTCACCACACACTCACCACACACACAGACACACACACACACACTCACATACACAGACACACACACTCACTCACACACACAGACACACACACACTCACATGCACATGCACGCACATAGACATACACATGCAGAGACACACACACATACACGCAGACCCAGACATGCACACACACACATGCACACACAGAGACACGTGCATATGTGCGCGCACACACATGTGCACAGACACACATAAACGTAACAAACACAGAGAAATGTAGACACACCCACCGAGGTTTCCTTGCCTGTGGTCTGTTCTGTGTAATGGTTTAACCCACAGCATGCTGTACTGTACCTGTAAAGACTTCCCTTGGTGTGTGCATTCTCGGCTGAGCCTGCGGTAAGCAGACTGAGCCTGCTTCTGCATTCTCAATGTCCTGAAGCCAGCGGTACCTGCAGAAAGAACAAGTCGTTTCACAGCAAGCACATCTCAAACACCGGCACACACACACAGCTCTATTCATCAGGAGGCTGGTCAGCCCCGAGCAACAGCAAACAGTATAGAACACCACCCAGGTCTGGGATTCGAACCCCAGGCTCACCATCAATGCTGGCTTCCATGGTAGTATTCAAATCTCGGAGCTAGCAGACCCAGGTTCAAGTCCCCAGTGTATCTCTGATTAGGAAAATATCTACAAAAGACCAGGAGGGGTTTGAGCTATTAGGAGCAGCTCAGATTATTTTCGCTGGAGCGTTGGAGGTTGAGGGGTGACCTTACAGAGGTTTACAACATCATGAGGGGCATGGATAGGGTAAATAGCCAAAGTCTTTTCCCCAGTGTAGGGGGAGTCCAAAACTAGAGGGCATAGGGTCACAGAGTCATACAGCACAGAAACAGACCCTTCAGTCCCAACTTGTCCGTGCTGACCAGATATCCTAAATTAAACTAAATTTGGCAGCATTTGGCCCATATCCCTCTAAACCCTTCCTACTCATATACCCATCCAGATGCCTTTTAAATGTTGTAATTGTACCAGCCTCCACCACTTCCTCTGGCAGCTCGTTCCATACACGCACCACCCTCTGCGTGAAGAAGTTGCCTCTCAGGTCCCTTTTAAACCTTTCCCCTCTCACCTTAAACCTATGCCCCTCTAGTTTTGGACTCCCCCCCACCCTGGGGAAAAGACCTTGGCTATTCACCCTATCCATGCTCCTCATGATTTTATAAACCTCTATAAGGTCACCTCCTCAGCCTCCGACACTCCAGGGAAAATACCCCCAGCCTCTCCCTATCGCTCAAACCCTCCAACATTCTCGTAAATCTTTTCTGAACCCTTTCTAGTTTCACAACATCCTTCCTATAGCAGGTTTAAAGCAGGAGGGGGAATCTAACTCTGTATCTAACCCAATGGGGGGGATCAGTGGGATCCTTCTATGCATTGTCCACTGGGGAAAGATTTAGAGAGGACGTGAGGGGTAACTTTTTCACGCAGAGGGTGTTGCGTGTATGGAACAAGCTGCCAGAGGAAGTGGTGGAGCCTGGTACAATTACACCATTTAAAAGGCACCTGGATGGGGAAATGAATAGGAAGAGTTTAGAGGGATAGGGGCCAAATGCTGGCAAATGGGACTAGATTAATCATTTGGGTCGGCACGGACGAGTTGGGCCGAAGGATCTGTTTCTGTGCTGTACAGCTCTATGACTGTATTTCTGTAACCAGAGTGCAAATTAGGTTGTAAGATGGGGAAGAGATGGTGGAAAACAGAGTGAGAAAGACAAAAAGAAGGAGGGAGGGAGAGACAGAGAGAGAGAGGGAGAGAGGGGCATAGAGAGAGTCAGACAGTCAGAGAGAAAGAGAGAGACAGAGTGAGAGAGAGGGAGAGAGAGAGAGGGGGAGAGAGAGAGACAGATAGAGAGAGAGGGGAGAGAGAGAGAGAAATACAGAGAGATAGAGAGAGAGGGGGGAGAGAGAGAGAGGGAGACAGAAAGAGGAGAGTGTAAGCTGAGCACAGAGAGGTATTGCTGAAGACGGGGTAAATATCTGACAGAGATGGAGCTGTGCAGTACACAAGGGCCCACAGCCGTCTGGGTAGCAGAGAGATTGACCAGCTGACCATGTGGCACTCACGCATTTTCCTGTCCCCTCGTCTCCTTGCAGGCTCCGCGATGTGTGTCCCAGGCACAGTAGGGATCTCTGGATAAGACACACTGCCCACAGCTGGGGTACGCCGTGCAGTTAGAGACTGGCACCTCCAGAACTGAAGTGGATGACGTGATGTAGAGTGCACCCTGCAGTGAAAGAGGGAACACAGATCACACCACGAGGCCAGACCGAGGCACGCACACTGATGCTGGAGCGGGAGGTGACACAGCAACAGGGAGACGGAGCGAGGGGTGGGGGGTCTATGGGAGGACACTGACCTTTTCCGATGACAGGAGGACACTGTGCACAGGCTCTGGCCCCGGGAACAGTTGCAATTCCTCGATGATATAAGGTTGGCCATCCAGCTGGAGGGCTTTGTGGAGGTAACCGGAGGCTGGCGGCAGAAAGTGGGAACGTTACTGAGGCTGGGATTTTGTTCATTCACTTAGTATTCACACGGGCCATCCCAACAGCTCCCTCACAGGGAATTACCCTGCATCTAACCCCGTGCTGGCCCTGTCCTGGGAGTGTTTGATGGTGGGTGGGGGGACAGTGTAGACGGAGCTTTACTCTGTATCTAACCCCGTGCTGTCCCTGTCCTGGGAATGTTTGATGGGGGGACAGTGTAGAGGAGCTTTACTCTGTATCTAACCCCGTGCTGTCCCTGGGAGTGTTTGATGGGGGGGACAGTGTACAGGGAGCTTTACTCTGTATCTAACCCCGTGCTGTCCCTGCCCTGGGAGTGTTTGATGGGGGACAGTGTAGAGAGAGCTTTACTCTGTATCTAACCCCGTGCTGTCCCTGTCCTGGGAATGTTTGATGGGGACAGTGTAGAGAGAGCTTTACTCTGTATCTAACCCCGTGCTGTCCCCGTCCTGGGAGGGTTTGTTGGGGGGGTACAGTGTAGAGGGAGCTTTACTCTGTATCTAACCCCGTGCTGTCCCTGTCCTGGGAGTGTTTGATGGGGGGACAGTGTAGAGGGAGCTTTACTCTCTATCTAACCCCGTGCTGTCCCTGTCCCTGGGAGGGTTTGACGGGGGGACAGTGTAGCGGGAGCCTTACTCCGTATCTAACCCCGTGCTATCTGAGGAGCGTGTCCATACCTGTGATCAGAAACATCACTCGGTATCTCACCGAGGTGACTGACAGGACAGTGTCCACCGCCATCTTGGTGTAGCGCTGCCTCCCCTTAACCAACAGGGGGCGCCGGCCGATGGGATGGACAACTCCGTCCATCAGGAACAGGTCTTTCACACGGCTCAGAGCCGTATCCATTGATGGCTCCATGTTGCACTGTGGGACGGACACACACACACACACACACACACACACACACACACACAGACACACACACACAAACACACACACAC